TTGTCTTGAGTAAGGACACTTGGATAATTGTGAAATGTTCCTCTTTATATCTGGTAGCAAGTGTATGCTAAAAGTCAATTATAACTATTATTCATGGCCAAATTATCTTGTGATTAGTGTTTGCATTTTATTGTCGCCATTTTTCTATTTGTGTCTTTATATATAACGTACATTTCTTTTGAAAAAAAAAAGCTGCACACACAAATGTTCACTGTTCATTCACAACAGTCAAAAATTATAAGCAACCCAATGACTAAACACAAGGTGAAGTAATAAACAAATTTTGAGATAGGTATACAATGGAAACCGTTCAGTAATAAATAAAACAAATGGCATGAATAAATCTTAAAATGATCATGCTGAACAAAAGAATGCATACTGCAGAATTCCATGTACACAGAATCTGCACAATGCGAACCAATCTCCAGTATCAGAAAGTAGATCAATGATTGCTTGGGGACAGGGGCACAGGTGGGATGAACCGCAAAGTGGTACAAGGGAACTTTAGGAAGTGATGGAAATCTCAAATGTGGTGAGATTTCATCTGCTAAACTAATCAAATTGTACACTTTAAATGGATGCAGTTTTATATGTAAATTACACCTCAATTAACTTGATTAAAAAAATAAAATTCAAAGGCATTGAGGGGTGCCTTTTCAGAGTTTTTAAAAGAAAAGCATAATTTTTTTGACACAGATGAGTTTCCCTTCTCTTTGATTGGAATTACATTAAATTTACAGACTAATCCAAGGGGGATGATCACAATTTCAATAAAAATCTTTCCACTCAGGGACACCGTAGACCTTTTCCAATTCTTTGTCTACAGAACAATCTGATGACAATGTGTTCTTAAGGACCTGATGGGTTCCCCAGACAGTGGTCTGGGTCTGGGTGCCTGAGGACAGAGGTGGATGGCAGCCATTGAGGCAGGCATTAGTAACAGCGGTGTTAAGGTCCGTAACAGCAAAGATTGGAGTTTGGATTATAACATCAGTTATTCACAGTTAACCATTTATTTCATCATCACTTCCTGAAAGGAGGGGTCTCCATTTACATTTTTATCATGTACCTCTTAAAAATATTAACAGTTTTATTGACATGTACTTCACATATTATATAGTTCAGTAGTTTAAAAATATTAAAAAGACTTTTGTAATCATCGCCACAATTTTATAACATTTTCTTCCCTCTTGTACTCATTATTATTAGCTCTCCATTTCGTCTCCTGTTATGTACCTTAAATACGAATAATAATTTACAAGCATAGACTGTGTGTGTGTGTGTGTGTGTGGAGCCCTCCCCAGATATGTTTTATTACTTGGCGTCGTCGGTCACCAGTGACTGGATCCTATGCCCATGCGGAGAGACGGGAACACCCGCCCTGTGCAGCACGTCGCAGGCGGTGCCCTCAGCCCTGCAGTCGGATGGGGCAGAGCGACTGGGGGTTTGGGCTTCCCGGCGGAGGCGGGCAGAAACGGACGCCTGAGAGCCGGCCGGCGGCTGGAGTGTTCAGGCGTCAGTGACCCCCATGTTCTCAGCTGGCCTGCCAGGGCGACGGCTCCCGCAGTCGGTTCCTTCTTGCTACCCTCCGTGCTGCTGCTTGTGCTCCTTGGAAGGCTCCTGGTCTCTGGGCGCCGGCTTCACAAAAGGGATCAGCTCTTGGAGACCTGGCGGCATGAACTCCTTCAGTCTCTCAGGCACCCTGATGCCTGACGCGGTCCGGTAGTTCTCCAGGATGGCGCAGATGGTGCGAGTAGTGGCGCACGTAGTAGCATTGAGCATATCACCAACTCCACCTTGCCCGTCATCTTCTTGGCCGGATCGGATTGGGAGCCGGCGTGCCTGGCAGTCCGTGCAGTTGGAGCAGGAGACCAGCTCTCGGAAGGCCCCAGAGCCCGGAAACCAGGCCTCCAGGTGGAGCTCCTTACCGGCAGCGTGATTCAAAGAACCTGCTACCATGTTCACAATGTGGCCCGGGATCCCCCGAGACTGGTAGAACCCCTCTGCGGCGGCGATCATCTCGTCAAGCATCTCCCATGACTGTGTCACGCGGGGACGAGTAGACAAACTGCTCAATCTTCTCAAACTGTGGACTCGGAAGATGCCGCGGGGGTGGCGGCGGTGGGAGCCCACCTGGCGGAAGCAGGTGGACAGGCCGGCATACTTGATGGGCAGGTCCTCGGGGCGCAGCCCCTCGTCCCGGTGGAGCGCAGGGCTGGGCTGCTCGGAGGTGGCGAGCAGGTATTTCTCGTCATAGGGGTTGTCATCCGACTTCTCGCGGCCTGTGCCTATCACCTGATAAAGGTCCTCATCAAACTGGCTGAGCTGCGCCACTCCCTGCATGACCTCCTTCCTCTTGAAGAAGGGGGTGTAGCCCCGACTTCCCAAGGTGCGAAGGGCACATTGGATGAGTGCCTGTTCCAGGACCCCCTTCAGGAAGTACCCTCGACTCCGGCCACCACTGCGCCCTTTTCGCCTGCGAAGCCATCTCCCATCCCCACCAGGTCCACGTGGGAGTACTTCTTCCTGACTGTGCAGTCTCCCCAAATCCTCTCGACTTTGTTGTCGGCGTCCTCGGCGTGGCTGATGGGCACCGAGGGGTGAAGAAGGTTCCCAATCTCACGGAGGCGCTCAAACCTCTCGGCTTCCAGCTCGACGCGCTCGGCATCGCACCTCAGGATGGCATCGTCGATAAGGAGCCGGACCTTTCCGATTTGTGAGACTTGGAGGTTAGCTAACGTGTCCGCCGTGAGGTCATCGAGGTGCAGTACGTGCCCCGGGGCCGCTTCATTGTCTCCCACTGGCTCCTTTGTCTTCATTTTGTCTCAATTGTCTTGCTGCAGAGGTGCTTCAGCTTGTCTGCCTGAAGTCTGCATCTTCGCCACTCGCTGTCCGCCTTCATCAGCTGGTCTACTAACCCTGGGTCTTTGAAACGCTTCTCCTGCGTCTCCCGGATAAGTGCTGGGTCCCCTCCTTTATCCACCGGAAACAAATCCAGATCCAGCACCATCTTTCCTTCTTCTGGGTCAACCCGAAGGAAAGGGCACAAGCATAGACTTTTAACAAATTCTGTAGATGGCTCACCCCATGTCTCCTACAGTCATCTCTGAGTTGACTGGTGGACAGTCCCGCAGCGCTGGTGGACAGTACCCAGAAAAGCTGAGGGCTTTGCAGCACCCAACTTGGCTTCTATCTGCTCCTAGATGCAAGGCTTTTCCCACTATTTGGTAGGTTTGCCTGGTCAGTCTGCAAGGCTGCCTGAATCATTGGAGAATTAATATCCCGAGGGCAACTCTGGAGAGGCAATGAAGGACAGAAGTCAGGGGCAGATACTCCAGTTTCACATTTCCTTGGGGGGACGATCTTAATGCATTCTACATGGTCCCTCGTGTATTGAGTTGATGCATGTGAATTACAGCGTTGGTGAAGAATATTCAAAGTACCGTGGATGGCCAGGAAAGCCAACAAACCTGTCTGGGGAGAAGAAGAGCCAGGGTGCTCCTTAGAAATGAGGATGGCAAAAAAAAAAAAAAAGAAGAAGAAGAAGACGTGAGGATGGCAAGACTTGATCTCAACCCTGCACATGTTGTCAAGTGGGACCAATGCCTGGAAAAGGGCATCCTGCTTGGTAAAGTAGACGATCCATGGAAAAGAGGCCAGCCCTCGAGGAGGCGGATGGACACGAGGGCCACAACAGTGGGCTCAGACCTAACCACAGTCAGATGCAACCAGAAGGCCTGGGCCGTGTCCGGGCTGTTGTAGAGAGAATCATTATGAGGAAGAAGCAACACGATGGCAGCCGACACCACAACGTGACCCTCAGAGGGCCCTATGGGTGTGGGGTAAGTCAATCATCAATACACCCTTCCCTACCTCACCCACCCCACTGCTTCCTGAAACGTCTTCCTCCTAAATACCTGCCGAGACCTTGTCTCAGGGTCGCCTTTCAGGAGCCCTCAGACAAAAGCACACACCCAAACTAAGATGCTGTTTCATTATGTTTACAATAAAACATACACAAAACAGACTTCTTAAAAGGATAAGGCAGAGATAAAATAAACAATATTTAAAGTAACTGATTTATTAGCAACGCGATATTTTTGCTCTCACTCAAATATATTAATTAGGATACTCTTGGTGAGTGGCAACGTGATTAACTGTGCTTCATTAGTTCTGAAAGTCTTGATTAGCGTTTTGTGATGTGATTGAATGCCTGGTTCCGAATACGTTTTATTTCCATCTCTGGTTTAATGGCTTTGAGAGAGCAGCAAGACTGTGGATCCGAATGCAGAACAAGTTAGGGCCCTCACTCGCCTCTCAGGCCCAGCCACCAGCACAGCAGAGGCTCTCGGCCAGCACATCCCAGCCTTCCCTGAGCAGTGCTCCTGTTCACTAATCAGAAAGGGCTGCGTTTTCATGTTTCCCAACCACGAAGGTCAAAATCCACCAAAGTTATGCTTTGGGAAGATTGTTAAATTGCTTAGACAGGTGTCCACATTTGTCAAAGCTCATTGAGAAATGTGCATTTAAAAGGGGAATATTTGATTGTGCTTTGATACGTGATGGTACCACTACGGCCCACAAGGAACCCTCAAGATGTCCCAGTGAAATCCTCCAGGTGCAGGGCTCCCAGGCAAATCCTGTCAGCTTGCGGTTCTCTCCTGTCTTGAGGCTGAGTTGTCCAGCGTGGGGGGGGCCTTGCAAAGCAGAGATCAAGCTGGGCCATGGGGGGCGCAGGCAGAAATAAATCATCCTCCCAGATGCTTCTTGGATGGCAAGATGCTTCCTTGTGGTATTGTCAGCTTGACCTGACCCTGGGACCTGCTTCCCCTTCTTGGTGTGCCAGGGCCCTGGGTGGGAAAGGGCAGGTGCCTGAGCTGCAGTGAAAGGGGAGGGGGGTCTGCCAAGTGGGGAGCAAGAGACCCAGGAACATACAACTGCTACAAATGGGCTCAGAAAACAAGGTCCTCAATGTGGGGCTGTCACTCACCCCTCCTCCCTCAGTCTCCACCTCCAGCAGGGAAGACTAAGCCTTCCTTGAAGGTGCTCCAGATCGACCACAGCAAAGCGGGGGCCACTCCAGCGTTGGGATAGAGCGAGACTCTCGTCAGGACAGCCCTCTTCTTCTCCATCAAAACAAGAGCAGGGGCCATCGCCTGGGACCTGCAGGAGGAAGGCAGACAGTGCTACAGTTTGGGCCTCTCCAAGGCTCAAGTCCATTGTCTAAAGCTCCCGGGTTACCCTTTAATAGGATGCTACTAGAAGTTATGTCACTGCGATTTCAAATACCAGCAGGTTTGCCTGTATGGCCAGCTTTCAGCAAAGCTTCCAGTATAACAAATACTGACCTGCTTCTGAAAAGCAGCCCATGGAACCCAATGGGTCACAACAGTGCAGCATTGGATATACAGGGAGAAGTTGAAAACAGTAGTCATTGCTACAAAATCACAGGAACCTTTATTAAACAAAAAATAGCAAAATGGGAAACGATTGTTTCTCAACATATTCTCCATGTAGGTCTAAACACATCTGAAGGCAGTGCTTCCATCTTTATAACCTGTCTCCTAAGAATCCTACGGGCTCTGGTTAATCCCACATCAAAATTGCTGTTTCTGGTATCCTCCAGGGACTCAACCCCTGTTCCTTCAAACTCTTCTCTCAGTTTGGAAGGCAAAAAACATCTGAAAGGGCGAAAGAAGGGCTGTAGAGTGGATGAATTAAGGTTTCTCAGTGAAATTCTTACAGACCAACCCTTGCTGCCCTGACAAAATGAACATGCACATGGTTGTGATGGGGGACAACATTCTCAGCCCAGCTTTCCCGGCCTTTCCCTCCCCAGGCAGTTTCCCATTGTCTTAAAACTTCTCCATCATAAGCCCTGACAATCATCCTGGGTCCTTCAAGAACCTCTATCCAGACTCTCAAAATACCGTCACCATCGCCTTCCGAGTGGGTGTCTGCCTGATTCTGCAGCTCCCCGCAAAAGCCACTGCTTTGAGTGGACCTTTGTTTTAATTTTTTTAAGGTGCCCTAATGAGACCCAGACAAATGTATTACCATCCACTGACTACAAGATAGACCCATGCATGTCTGACCTGAATCCCAGTAGCTGGAAAGCGAGACCCCAGGTTCAAAGCACACACCGGTGGAAACAATAGACTCAAGCGTAGCATCGAACATGAAGCTGGCCATGGATGGGGAATGTTCGGTTCTGCTGTACATGAAGCAGAGCCAACTGGACGGCAACAAACCACACACCCCGTGCCCATTTCCAAGGTAAGTCCACAGAGGCGGAGTCACTTACCTGAAGTCACTGCTGTGAAGGAGGAACAGATGAAGTGATGAGAGGAAGAATGAAAACTACTTGAAAAAGCACTTCTAGTGGGGAGATAGAAATTAAATGAACTATGAGATGCTATTTCACACCCGTCATGTAAGAAACCTTTCAAGTCTGATAATACCAAGTGTTAAAGAGGATGTAAGGAGATTGGAATTTGCACACACTATGGGGGGGCAGGGGGAGAGGAATGTAAATTTGGCAATAAGGAAGGTTATGGGTTGATAGGTTGAAGTCCTAACCCTCACACCTGTGAATGAGATTCTGTTGGAGAATTAGAGGTTGCTTTTGTTATGTTCATTTGTCCAGGGCACACTGGACTCTAACCCTAACCCCTTCGGAGTGGCTTCTTTGAAAGGAAAAACACCTAAGAAGAGACGCGGATACAGGGAAAATGCTTCGTGTGGGGGCGCACCTCAAACCCAAACCAGACGCACTGCCATCAAGTCAATTTGGACTCAGAGCAACCCTAGCAGACCGGGTAGAGCTGCCCCTGTGGGTTTCCAAGTCTGTGGCTCTTTCCAGAAGTAGAAAGTCTCATGTTTCCCTGGCAGAGTGGCTGGCGGTTTCAAATCACTGACCTTGTAGTTAGCAGCCCAACGTATAGCTCACTACATCACCGGGGTTCTTTCCCCTACAAACCGGATGCACCAAGAAATGCCCAGGGCAGGACAAATATCCATTTGTCAAGCTTTGGCCCTGAAGCTAACAGACAGAGAGAGAACCCAGGCTATCGATGCCCTGCAATTCTAGCTTTCAGAACTGTCAAGGGACAAAAGTCCTGTTTTCTAAGCCCTCCCGCTGGTGGTATTTTTCTGACAACAGCACTGGGATGTTAAGACCAAGAGCGAGTTGAAGACGCTGCTGCCCACCCTGCTCTGCACGCACACAAAAAAGCACTCGCGCGTGTGCCCAAAGAGACTCGTGGAAGGCTATGCACTAGCCGGAGTCCACCCACGTGCCCCCCTGCAAGCAATTGAGTACTCACCTTGCAATATATCATCTGCTGTTTTGTCTTCTTGAAAATAATGTTGGAGGTAAAAATGACCAAAGAAATGTTCATTAGCGCTTAATGTTTTACAGTATTATATGATTTTTAAACGTTATTCGGAAGTACACATGGTACTGGCTCGGCCTGGTATAGAAAGCATCCCTGGCTCAGGCAGGCATCCTCAGGGAACCTTGGTCACATGCTGCCTGAAGCCAAATCTCAGCCGGAGCCTGGTTTGGGAGCCCAAAGTTAGCAGCCTGTGAGGCTCCGTCAGGGAGGCTCTCTGGCTGTCAAGAGGCTCCAGTTGTTCCATCAGCCAGCCTTCCTGATGGTGCCAGAGCGACGATGGGTACATGGAATGGGAGGCTTCTCCTAAAATCGTGTGTCTAACTCTGCCTTTGTCTCTGCCGTTGCCCTAGCTAAGTGTAGACCCAGACTCTCTGTGCCACTTTCCAGAGTGGAGAGCTGCCAGAGCACAGGAGCTGTCATGAGATCCACAAGACAGATCCAACTGGTCAGGACTATAGTCTCAGGGACACCACGGTCAGCTGGCTTAACCCGTCAACAAAATCTACATCTTCCTTTGATGAGTCGAGACTAGAGTGCAACTATTGGTCTCTCCCATCCAGAGGAAACAAGAGCGGTGGAAATCGAGGACAAATGGACTAAGGGATAACACAACTTCAGCCTCCACAGCCATGAGGCAAAAGGAACTAGGTGTGTCCAGCTACCACTACCAACAGCTCTGAAGGGGATCGAATTACAAGGTTTGGGACAGAGAGGGAGAAAGAACTAAAAAAATGATGAAGGAGGCCAGGCTTGCTGGCGAGGTCAACATTAGTAGAACCCTCCCAGGGGTCCTCAAACTTTTTAAACAGGGGGCCAGTTCACTGTCCCTCAGACCTGTTGGAAGGCCGGACTATAGTTTAAAAAAAATTATGAACAAATTCCTATGCTCACTGCACTTATCTTATTTTGAAGTAAAAAAACAAAAGGGGCAAAAACACCCAGCAGGCCAGATAAATGTCCTCGGCGGGCCGCATATGGCCCGAGGGCCGTAGTTTGAGGATGCCTGCTCAAGATTATAGTCACCCTTTGGGTCTAGAACTGAACTCACCTGTGTGGCTTAATTTTCCTCCAAACACTCAAACGAATAATAACACTATTGATGAGTATACACCTTAGAATAATCAACCATTTGATATTAAGAGGGTAGCATTTTTCCAAGGGGCTAGGAAAGGCGGGATGGGAGAGAAAATGAGGGAGGATGGACCATGATACATTGAAAGGACTGCAGTGAATGAGATCAAAGAGACTGTGTATGAATCAGTGAATGTACAACTGATGATCTTCTCGGAAAATGTTTACTCAATTCACAATAAAAAGTTGAAATAAGGAAGTGAAACCACTTGTTGTTGTCAAGTAGGAGCGGGACAGGGGGCCAAGATCCAGCCAAGACCTCAAACCAAAGAGAGATCCAGCTGAGCTGGAGAGCGAGGGCGGGGATGGGGCGAGGGGTCTGGAAGAGGCATCGAGCTGGACCTTGCAGAAGAAAATGAGGAAGAGATAGAAAAATCCAGAGGATGTGAACCGGAAATTGAGGGATGCTGCTGGGGCAGTGGAACTAAAGCTGAGAGCTAGATCATGGAGAGCCAGCTGAGAAAGGAATGCTTAGTGGAAGGAATGTGGAAGCAAGGAGCTTATATTTGAGGTACTAGACTGGCATAAGCTTGCTAGACTGCATCTATCACCAGTCAGCCAGCCATGAGCTGGGCCATGGACCCTGTGGGTGAGGGGCACTCATGGCCACCCTCTCCCCTGTGGGATGGGCACCTTTGCTCCGCTTACCAACACTCACTGGTGCCACTGGCTGCAGACATAAGTCCTCTTGATCCTTCAGGAGTCACACCAACTTCTCTCCAACTCCCTGAGTCTCCCTTGCCAGGGGGTGGGAGCCGAAGGTTGTTACCTACCACAGAGATCAAACACTGCACCTTCCCCCACCCCCGAATTGTTGTGTCTTTGAAGGTCCTATCTCCCCTAGATTGTGTCACAGTTATTTCTCTCCTCTATTACGTATGACTCTTGGTTGCAAATGACAGAAAACACAACTCAAAAAAGCTGGAGGACAAAGAAAGGGCCTCGTTGGTTCAGGTAACTGCAGGGTTCCAGGCACAGCTAGGAACTGAGCCAGGAGCTTAGACAAGCTCACAGAGGCTCGCTCTCCTCCCATCTGCATGGGCTTCAGTCTCAGGCAGTTCGCTCCCTGCTCTCTTCCCAGAATACCCAGCAGGGAAAGATCTTCTCCTTCCTTGTGCCTCCAGTTGGTGTTGAGCCCCAACTAACTCATGGTGACTGCTCCACAGGGGTTCTAGCCACTGGTTTTTCAGAAGCAGATCGTCAGGCCATTCTTCCGAGGTGCCTCTGGATGGACTTGAGCCCCAATCTTTGTGTGTGTGTATGTTTGTTTATTTGTTTGCTTGTTTATTTTTAAATCATTTTAGTGGGGGCTATTATAGCTCTTGTCACAAGCCATACATATATCCATTGTGTCAAGCACATTTGTTGCTTGTACATGTACATGTACAACACATGTACATATGTTGCCATCATCATTTGCAAAACATTTTCTTTCTACTTGAGCTCTTGATATCAGCTCCTCATTTTACCCCTCTCCCATCCTCCCTCCCTCATGAATCCTTGATAATTTATAAATTATTATTATTCTTTCATGTTTTACACTGCTGTCTCACTTCACCCACTTTTCTGATGTCTGTCCCCCGGGGAAGGGGGTTATAAGTAGATCATTGTGATCTGTTCCCCCTCTCTTCCCCC